AAGGCACAAGACACTTATCTCTTTCCACAGAACTGCAGATCTAAAGGGAATCACAAAGAAACCCCACAAATAGTCAACTTAAATTGCCATTACAAGAAAACTCTAATTTCACAGTAATCGCTCAAAATAACATATTACAGAGGCTAATCAACAAGTATGATCTCAATATTACAAGTTCATCATGAGGGATGAAGAACACGAAGGACTCAAACTCTAATCTATAGAAAAGGGACTCTCAGAAGAACCTAGAAGGAACGAATAACTCAAAAGGCAGAAAGAATGAAAAATATCTTCCACTGTGTAGTATTTATACCACACATCACCAAGGCAACAATCCAAGGGCCAGAAATCACCCACGTGTCACCATCTCATAATAAGTGTACCATTAAGAAAAACGTATCCAGTAGAAACACGATTTTAAGCCAATTTTGAGAGCACATCACAGATCATAGGTTCGAGCCTCAACAACCCTAAACAAACTTTACCGGGTTAAGTATCCCAATTGCCATTGAACTTTTATAAATGTTATTCAATTGTCATTGAAATTTAAGTTGTTATTGAACTTTTCCAAATGCTCACTTGTTTTCATTGAACTTTGACAGTTTTAGTTTTCATTATGTTATCACGTCCTTCACTTGTCATTTTAAAAGTTAAAAGACTCGATAAATTTACCAAAATATTATCAAATCCATCATTCTGTCAACCCTGTCGTCTATTGCATTAACACGGTAGCGGATGATATAACAATTTGATAAGTTTAATGACAAGTCAAAAAACTTTTAAAATTCAATAGCAACTAGAAACATTTCGGAAATTTCAGTGGCAATTGAGATATTTAACCCCGCGTCCCCAAACAAACAAGAAAAGTATGTTTGGTACATATTTCTGACCAATGTAAGGGTATTTAACATTTTTTCTTTCATTTTTAGCATTGTCCATTACTGTACAAACTAGATAGGGTCTGTCTTGCCAAACCAGCAGAAAAGGTAGAATGCATACGAATTAATTTAGTAGGAATGGTACAAGGTAGCATTTGCATTGGATCTATCCACACTTATTATTATGGTGGAAAATTACAATGGCATAATCAACTTACCAGCCGTTGTTTCCTATCAATTCCATTAAGGCCGGGTTTTTTTTTCGGTGGGGAAGAAACAGGCTGAGGTTGTACCAAATTCTATAGCATAAAACTAGAAGCCAAAATCACATGTAAATAGAGTTGGCCATTCTATTAATTTCTTTGTGATTGAATCTTCGATCCATTGAAACGAAGCTAATTAGCAACGTTTACCCTTCTTGCAGCCAAGCGCACCTGCTCCCATTGTGATTGAACCTATAAGAGAAGATGGTCTTGCACTTAAGCTAGATGCCTTGGCATAATTTGTAGATGCTCCGGCACCAGACAGGGTGAAGAAGGCACCGTTGAGCATTAGGTCGCCTTCGGATCTCCAGTTCCATTTCTTCCACTCGCTCTCTGGTGCGTCCTCGTGTTTTGTAACCTTAAACCACACAATAATACCTCATCAGCTAGTGT